ATAGCTTAATTTGCAAGGTTCAAGAAGCTTTTTTCTTGTATAATTTTGTATTATTATCGAAGGTGGTAACTTTAAAGAAATATATAAAAATAAAATAATAATAATAATAATAATTCTGTATTCAGGGGAAACTGTGACCATTGTTGGAGACCATGATCCTGCATTGTTGAAATACTTTGATTGCACGCGGTCGGGACCCCGCTCAGCTTTTGACAACAATGTTGTTTTCCAGTTTGAAATTATGGAATATGTAAGTTCAGTTTACTAATGATTATGTTCTATATTGGTATGCGCACTCAATTCATGTTTGGCTTCGCCTTTAGCTTGGCTACCGGCTCGAAATGAAAAGTTTACATGATTTTGGTGTACACCTTGTCTAAAATTTATAATGCATCAATCTTTTCTGGTTTGCATGCAGCAATCTTAGACTTGTAGCCTTACTAATAGTCTCTTGCGTCTGTAGATTCTTGACTTTGCCTTTGATCGGTTGGGTGCAAAAGGATCACAGGTATGATTCAAAATGGACCCTTCGTTTCTTCGTTTTACTATACTTGCTGAAGCTCTAGATTTTGATTATGAAGGTTCATTTGTTAAAAGCTGTTTTCTTTTCTACCATGATTTTGTCTATCTTGAGGCCAGTTCTTTTTAATGAGATTGCCAATACCAGTTTGCATGAATGATGTGCAATAGTGTTCTTTTTTTTTTTTTAGATCGTTACAAGCATATGCAAAGTCATTTATTTTGAATGCTTTTTAATTTTTTAATTTTTTATGTAAGGTTTCAGATCAGTTTATATATTCGTAAGACCTTTTCCTAAACTTTGTGTTCATTTGAGGGCAGAACAGATTGATCACCCGATCCTGATTACTGAATGCGTGTGCAACCCATTTCACTCTCGTAGTAAAATGGCTGAACTTTTGTTTGAGACATATGGAGTTCCATCTATAGGTATCAACAGTAACTTAAAATTTTACCTCTCTTCAGACATGCTTCCTTACTGGCTCTTTGGTCCTGTGTTGTTTTTGCTCCCTTTAATATGTCTATTTTTGTTTAGATTTTTTATTTTTTTTGTTTCCGTACTTACAGCATATGGTGTCGATGCTGCATTCAGCTATAAGTATAATCAGCAGCATGGGGTTTGTGATAAAGATGGTCTTGCTATCTGTCCTGGTTTTACCACTACTCATGTTATTCCGGTATGCTTTCTTGGTCTTGGTAATTGCTTAACTAATGACTGATAGTAATGAAAAATATCCAAGACTGGTTTACATGCCAAATTAGTTGTGTATTAGCATTCATTACATCTCTGATTGTCAATATAATGATAAATAAGCTGTAGTTTAAAATTTTCTGTTGCGATTCTTGTTTTCCCTAAATATCTTCATTAGTACCTCTTTAAGTGAGCATTATTTTACAAATTGGTTACTCAGTATGTTATCATGATTCATTGTGGGATTTATAGGTTGGGATTATGGAAAACATATCTAGTTTTATTGGCCTCAAGCAAATCTTCAGTATGGAATTCCACTACTTCAGTTCATATTTTCAGAACAAATAAGAAATTGATAAAGATGATAACATACCCAAGACCTCTCTTGATTGCTAGGTTGATCATTTTTGTGTATGTCATTCCCAGTTTATTGATGGTGAGCCCGTATATAATGGAAGCTGTCGAACTAACATTGGTGGGTACCACATCACTGATTATATGAAGCAACTTCTCTCACTTAAATACCCTCATCACATGTGAGTATAATTTGGTTGGTTTCCAGTTCACTTGAATGGGGGACCGATTGAGTAATATTTCTGATTATGTGTATCTAATGCAACAGGGCTAGGCTTACATGGGAGAAGGTTGAAGACCTGAAGATGGAGCACTGTTACATTGCTCTAGATTATGTGTCAGAAGCTCAGTTATTTCAGGTATTGATGATTGCCTTTTCCAATCCACTCGCCTATCCCAATCTGGTTAGTTAACTGTTGATATATTTTTTTGTTTTCACAGAGTGGGGCAAAGGAAGCTGAAGATAAAACAAGGATGTGGCAGCTTCCATGGGTTCCACCACCTACTGAGGAGCCCCCTTCCGAAGAAGAGATTGCAAGAAAGGCAGCCATTAAAGAGAAACAAGGTCAACGATTGCGAGAAATGGCTGAGGCGAAGAGATCTTCTAGAATAAATGAACTGGAGAATGAATCACACGGGTTGGAGTTTCTTCTAAAACAGCTTGAACAGGTGGAAGAGCCTGATATACCATCGTTCCTGTCAGCCACTGGCTATGTCTCCAAGAAGGAAGTAGAATCTGCCCTGGTGAAGGTAAGACAATCGTTACTGAAGACGAAAGGTGAACCAAAGGGTGAACAAGCTGAGCTTGATGAGAAGACGGATCCTGCAGGAATCGAAAGATTTCCTCTTTTAAATATACCTGACAACATGCTCACCCCTGAGCAGGTATGCTTTTATGCTAACTTTCTTTCACTTTCCCACCATTTTGAATTCGTTGTGTATTGCACTTTTAGGATGTGTGCATAAAATGCACACAATTCATTACTCTTAACACCTGTTTATGACTCGAAAAACCTGAGGTCCTCTCGGTAAACCTAACATATGAAGACAGCGTCAACCAGACAGCATTTGAGCTTTTTCCTTATATTCATCTTACTTTTAGGTTTTCACATCATCGTTAATGTAGTCCTTTGGTACTGTTCTCTTTACAGCTGAAGGAGAAAAAGAGACAGTTGTTTCTAAAAACCACATCTGAAGGTCGGCAGCGAGCTAAACAGAAGCGTCATGAAGAAGAATTAGAGCGGGAAAAGAGAAATCAACAAGATGAGAAAAAACGTTTGTATGTGCTGACACATGATTTTTTATTTTGGCAACGTAAAACAAAATCAATTTATTGTGGTCAGGCTTTAAGGAGAGAAAACCATTCATGTTTGTTAAAATTAAGATTTTATATGGTTCACTATTTAGCATTCTAGATTCCTTATGATGATTTTATAAGTTTTGGAAATGTGTACTATCTCCTCGTTAATTATTATTTTCTCTGTCTCCTTATTGTAGAGAAAACCCGGAGCTTTATTTAGAGCAGTTGCATGCTAAATATAAAGATCTTTCAGAGAAAGTTGAACAGAGAAAACGGCTTAAGACAAATGGTGGGGGTCATACAAATGGAAATAATTTTTCTGGAAATGTTGGCCGTGGCGAGAGATTAAATGCTGCACAGAGGGAAAGGATGCGCCTTTTGACAACAGCAGCTTTTGATCGCGGCAAGGGTGAGGATACTTTTGGCGCAAAAGATGAAGACTGGCAATTATACAAACTCATGAGCAAAGATAACGATGATGATGATGAGGGACCAGATGTGGATGAAGCAGAGCTAGCGCGTCTCTCTTCTAGGCTCAAGGTCTGTTTATTCTGGTTCACTTACTGGCTGTGGTTTACCGTTGTTGTTTTCATCTGAATTATTCATTTTGGATCATTGCTTTGATAGGAAGTGGACCCGACATTTGTTCCCAAACCAGATATTGCAAACCCTCAATCTGCTGAAGCACCCAAGTTTCGTCCTCTTACCCAGGAAGATTTTCAAATTGTTTTCGGTGTTGAAAGGTTCAGGTGCCCAGAGGTCTTATTTTGTCCCAACTGGATTGGAATCGACCAGGCAGGCTTAGATGAGATGGCTGGGGTGTCGCTGAGGAGGCTGCCAACTAAGGGCCAAGAGCTGGAGGAGAGGCTAACCAGTTCGATATTTATGACTGGTGGGAGTAGTCTTTTTCCTGGCATGAGCGAGCGCTTGGAGGCAGGAATCCGGATGATTCGGCCGTGTGGTTCACCCATAAGGATAGTCAAGGCATTGGATCCAATTCTAGATGCATGGCGTGGAGCTTCCGCTTACGCCGCCGCCTCCCACTTCCCGACACAAACTTTCAGTAAGGAAGACTATTATGAGAAGGGTGAAGACTGCGTTCTCCGATACCAATTTCGGTATTATACATTGTAGTTGTTTAGGTCACCCTTTTGCCTTGATATATGCCATTATTGATGTTGTCAAACGTAGATTGCAGAGAACATGTTAAACGTTGACGATGAGCATCTCAATTTCAAACAACTTTTTCTTACTAAATGTGTCACTTGCAAATTTATGTGGCAATTTGATGTAAAAATTTTCTCCTCTAAACTTTCACTCCAATCTACCTAAACTTGTGCAGGGGCTTCCATACCATGTCATTTGTAGGGTTTCTTTCACTTTTACTTCGGATTTTATTCTCTTTAGATTGTCTCATTCGGTGTGATAGTTGCCCTAGTAGGCAGTACTTGAGTGACCGTCGGACTTATTCAATCCAAAACCAATCCCTAAAAGATCCCTAAAAGAACTTCTTTGGCATTACATGACATAGTAACGTTTCGTTATTGATGAATTGATATTATAACACGTATTTAATAAAGCTGTTTCTTGATATATTAATCTATTGCTAGTCAGATTATAACACGTGGTTTAGTATCACCCTTAGTCTAAATTTTTTTAATCCCTCCATAAAATAAAGAATTTTACTATACTTCAATGGATAGCACGCACGTTGAGTAATAAATACTTGGTTGTACAGTTATTAATCTAATAGATAATAATCCAACAACGAAAAATTCCGGTGTATAGTACGTACTAAAATCACAGTAGGCTTTAAAGGCCAAGCAATTAACAATTAACTTCAAAACCAAACTGGCAGCTTTAGACGAGCTCGATCAATGCAAAAAATGACCGTTGGAGGATTCTATACATGCACACTGCACATATTACAATTTTTTCACAGAAAATAAAAAATAAAAAAGGGAAAGATAAAACCCAGCACCGCTCCTATAAACCCCACGATAATTCGACCGTTACAAGTCTGCCGCCACACTGAACCAAGAGAGAGAAAGAGAGAGAAGCCTTTCCTTGCATTTCTGTTCCTTTGGCCTCCTCCTTCTCTCTTCAAAAACCCCATTAATTATACCAATTAGCTGTATGATATCATCACATTCTTCAGACCCAGCAACCCGGAAACTCCTCCTCCAAGCAACCAAGAACCGCATCCAACAGAACCCAGCAATGGAGTCACCTCAAACCAGGAAATCGGGGCTCAACCTCCCCACCGGGATGTCCGAGACACTGCTCCGCCTCGATTCCGTTTCGGGTTCTTTTCGTGCGGTTTCGAGCCTCTCAGCGTCGCCGGGTTCTTGTCGGGCGATTTCGAACCTGTCCTCGCCGTCCAAGTCCTCGACTTGCAGCGACAGATTCATCCCCTGCAGATCCTCGTCGCGGCTTCACACGTTCGGGCTCAACGAGAAGGCCTCGCCGGTGAAAGAAGGAGGCAACGAGGCGTATGCCAGGTTGTTGAAATCGGAGCTTTTCGGGTCTGATTTCGGGTCTTTTTCTCCTGCAGGTGGCGGAGGTGGTGGTGCAGCGTCGCCCATGAGTCCCAGCAAGAACATGTTGCGGTTCAAGACGGAGAACTCGGGCCCGAACTCGCCTTACTCGCCGTCCCTTCTGAGAAATGACAGTGGGTTTTCCAGCGAGACTACGCCTCCCAAGCCTCCTCGCAAGGTCCCCAAGACACCCCATAAGGTAATTAATTATCCCATGTTCTTCCCTCCTTTGATCTTTAATTTTAATGGTAATTTTGGAAGAGTGTGAAAGATCAAATCTTCCCAAGGAAAAGGTGATAAAATATATTAACTTAGCTTAATTCAGCTCAATTTAACTTAATTAGTTTAATTGTAGTGCAGTAACAAGTTGATCTGATGGATTGGATTAAAGGGAATGGTCGATTTGAAAAAAGCTGCATTTCCTATGCTAATTTGCAGTAACTTCACGGGATACCCGATATATGTCATCAAACTATTGATATTATGTCGATATTGTGTTTTTGTTTGATATAGATGTCGATATGAATGTCACATGTGTCTTTGTGATGTTTATATGGTGTCAATAATGTCTTGCTATTTTATCGTATATCTATCAATGTGTTGTTTATAATCCCGCTCCATGAACAGTGGAGCGGATCCCCCCTTAAGAAGGGGTTTATTGGGGAAAATGCAATGGCTGATTTCAAAGGCTCTAATTGGTTGCAGGTTCTGGATGCTCCGTCACTACAAGATGACTTTTACTTGAACCTTGTGGACTGGTCCTCCCAAAATGTCCTTGCAGTTGGACTGGGCACCAGTGTTTATCTCTGGAGTGCATCAAACAGCAAGGTTAGTTTAATGACAGATTTACAACTTTGCCGTTCCGTGGTGTAGAAATCTAATTTGAAAATTCTCTCTGCTGCCACTGTTGTTCATTTTATAGTGGGTTTGTGATGTATTGTGTTTCCTCAGGTGACAAAACTGTGTGACTTGGGGCCTAATGACGGCGTGTGCTCTGTCCAATGGACACGGGAGGGTTCATACTTGTCGATTGGCACAAGTCTTGGTCGAGTTCAGGTAGCTATTTGTTTGAATTGGTTGTCCTCCGATTTTATACACTTGATACATAGATGGCCATTAATTGTGATGTTTTGTTCTAGGTTTGGGATGGGACGCAGTGCAAGAGGGTCCGAACAATGGGCGGGCATCAAACAAGGACCGGAGTCTTGGCGTGGAACTCGCGCATATTAGCTTCAGGGAGCCGAGATCGGAATATACTTCAACACGACCTTCGAGTCCCAGACAACTATATCAGCAAGCTTGTTGGCCACAAGTCTGAGGTATGAAGACTTCAAAAGTACTTAAATGACGTTCTTGGGAATATGCAAACAAAATTAACTTTTCTTCGAATTTCAATTATTCAGGTATGTGGGCTGAAATGGTCCAACGATGACAGGGAACTTGCATCCGGTGGCAATGATAATCAGGTAGCCATTACAAACTTGTGTTTATTCTTTTCCACATTCGTGTTCTCTTCTCTTGCTCTCTTATGCTTTAGTCAATGGCTTACTTACTTAGTGGCTTGTGGTGAGCAGCTCTTGGTCTGGAACCAGCAGTCTCAGCAACCGGCTTTGAGACTGACAGAGCACACAGCTGCAGTCAAGGCCATTGCTTGGTCACCCCACCAGAGTGGCCTTCTTGCATCTGGAGGCGGAACTGCTGACAGATGTATTCGGTTCTGGAACACTACAAACGGCCACCAATTGAACAGCATCGACACAGGAAGCCAGGTAGACTTTTGTTTCTGTTTATGCGTATGGGAATAAAGGAGAATACCCTCAACTCACACAAGTCGACTTGTAGGTCTGCAATCTTGCATGGAGTAAGAATGTCAATGAGATAGTCAGCACTCATGGGTATTCCCAGAATCAAATTATGGTGTGGAAGTATCCATCCATGGGAAAGGTTTGCATTCTAGTGATTTTAAACTTTGTAAAACTTTACCTCAACTCGAAGCATAAGAAAATTCAGAAAAAAAGTGCATTTTTCTGGTTATAATCTTTGTATCCAACTCCTATTCGAATGTACTTACAGGTTGCCAATCTAACCGGTCATAGCATGCGAGTTTTGTACCTTGCAATGTCACCGGATGGTCAGGTATTGCACCATTTTTGCCCCCGATACGTATGTGCACAATTTCTAGTTGCTAATGCCGAGATCTCAGTTCTAACAAGCTCAAATGAAATCTCTTTTACCACAGACAATAGTCACTGGTGCCGGGGATGAGACTCTAAGATTCTGGAACGTCTTTCCATCTGTGAAGACACATGTAAGCATGGATATCATGATCCAATCTTTACACTGATCAAAATTTTAAGCTGCCTTATCTTCCCTCCAAAATACGTTATCACTGCTTTTCTGATCCTTTTTCTTTTTGTTTGGTATTTCAGACGTCAGTGAAGGATACCGGTCTTTGGTCACTAGGACGAACTCAGATTCGATGATTCTCTCTTGCACATACACATGAAGCGATATCTTGTAAATGGAGATACTCTTATTCTTTCCGGTCAGAAGAATACTGTAATTTATCAGTAGTGAAAGGCACAAATTTACTTCTTTTTCTTTGGTTCTTGTTAATCCCACACGAAGTTTTGAAGTTTGTAAAGTGGTATCTGGTGTGCCATGCAAACCCTAACGATTAAGAAATTCAAATATATACATTTTCAGTGTTCATTCCCGGAGCTCTCTGTCTTCGTAAGTTTCGTCAATTCCTTCATCCTTGCTGTTTTTCTTTTTCTCATCCTTCTTTTAAGACCAAGAACATGAGAAATGTGCATGCCATCACAACTTGGTTCGTGCATATAGAAGTGAAAACCAAATAACATCAGTAGCTTTCGGCCTCAACAACGACGCCTTTCTAAACAGCGGTTTGCAAATCTGATTGATTTCTGCAAAACAAACAGCCAGAAGATGGTAAAGAAATATATCCAAGCAGAGATTCAATGAAGCAATTACCGCTCTTATGCTACCGAAAAAGGGGGAAAGGGAAGGAATTAAGAAAAGAACCTTGCACATCTTCACTCTCTAAAAGCTTTATCACAAGATTGCCTCCCCTTCGCAATACACCGTTATCATCTGAACTCGTAGTTGCCCCAACATTACTTTCCTCCGTTTGAATTTCGTTGTTTGAATGAGCTAAGGCTGCTCCACCAACAGCCACATTCAGTGCTTGCATGCCTAACTCGAGCGATAAAGCTGCATCTCTACTTGAGATTCCAGAAACGAGGGGACACATACCCGACAGCACCACAGAAAACCCTTTCTGCTGCACATACATAACGGCAAAACAATAAATCCTTTTCGTAAACCTACATCTGCAAGAGGATCCTAGCAACGTTTTACGGTTGGCTTTTTAGTTGGAAATTCATGGAAAACAGTTTGAACCCTTGAATCACAATGATCAGCAGGAACCTTCACCTTCTGTTCTGAAAATTCCGCATTTCACAATCCAATTACTCTATAAATTATCGAATAAACAGATAAAAGCACGGCAATTTAACTCGAAAGGATAGCAAAAAATGAGACCTTGAGATCAATCCCGACAACAAGGCCGCCATTTTTTAGGGGACCCAAACTCTGGCAAGCCACCTGCAAATTTCAACAAAAACCCATGAATGCTATGAGGAGACGGTTGAGATTTGAGTACAAAGTTTGGATTTTGAAATGACCAAAAAGGACCTGAAGCCAAGCGCCGGGAGCACAGCCGAGGTCGAGAACAGAGGAGCCAGGGGTTATGAGCTTGTCCATTTTATTATGAGCTTGTAGCCTTAAATTCTTTGGTGGGTAATTGGAAAACTAAATTGCAACTCATAAAAGTTCAGAAGATCATTACCCATAATAAAAACGCAATTTTGTTGGATAAAGCCGGTGGCTGTTGAATGGGAAGGCGCAGAATACAATACAATTGTGAGATAAGACTTGTTGCTGTTGTCCCACATCGCCCAAGTAATAAAGGAGAAGCTGGTGGAGGGATTATAAAATGGACCAGAAGCTGAACTTACAAAGTATCTTTGCGCTTGGGGCAATGACGCAGCTTAAGAGGTTCTAACCGAGGCGCGTCTATTGCTGGTTGAAAACTATTTCCAAACCCCCTCATTGGCCTGGGTTCAGCCTTGGCCTTTGAGAATTTCTGGAAGGGCTCCCTTCGGGGTAAAGCCCTGCAAATCTCAGTTCAAATTTTTCAAAATTTTCAAAGTTTTCAAATCTGTAAGGTTTGTTAGAGGTCCACCAGGCCTAGACGAGAGACGTTGAATGATGCAAGGCCATTGAAAACCATAAGCAATCTGATGCTGGCTTGGACAAAAGGTCTTTGTATATCTGAGTACCGGATCCAGCCATGCGTGCTTCTAGACCATGAGCAAAATAGGGAGCTAGTCTCTGCATTGCGTCTCCCATAGCCATAGGAGAAGAATGTTGTCTGATCTGCTTAAGTAACTCGTTGCCAGTCCTCTTATCAATAGCTGCAACTGCTCGTGAACAATGCGTCAAAAAAGTTCATAAATCCAAACACCACATCCTTTTTCCCTGCCTCTTTCCGCAGCCTTTTTCTACCATTTGCCCCCTTCGACTGACCATGTTGTTGTACACTCTTTGATTGTCTCGCTCTGCAATGTTTCACAAAGAGGAGATTCTCCTTGTCCGCAGTTTAGGAAAACCGTGTCAACCATTTCCAAACTCACTGTTGATTTGGTGTAAACTGCTAATTGCTTGTTACTCCTCCGAGCTCCCATTTCCCCCGAACGATCAGAGAAGTATTCATTCTTCTTCTCTGCCCTCAGCTCCCATACGTATAGCCTCTACCTTCCCCTCTTTAAATAAGAACGCGTTACTTTCCAAATCGACTGTCAGACTAATACCATTCGGAAGAAACCTACTCGCTTCCTCAAGCCTCTTTTAAATTACACAACTGACTATCCCTAATGCTACTGCTAATGCGAAAGGTAGTAGTGTAATGGCTGGAACACGAAGGATGAATTTCATCTCCGCATTCATGGTTCTGATCAACATTAGTAGTCATATCAGAAGGGGAAGAAGAAAGCTTATCTCCAAGCTCACAAAACGATTGTGTCTGCATTTTGAAGTGTTGCAGGCTCATGATACATTTCGGTCTTTCTTCTTTATCTTCTTCCATAAGAATTTGTCTAATGTACTTGAGAACTACATTACTAAAATCAGAGTCCTCCGGTGAATCCCCATCTGAGTTCGTGCTCAAATCCGGCCCCAAATTACTCGAACATGGACGGGAGGTGCACAGTTTTGATCAAGAAACTTACTACTATTTCTCAGTCCAATATCCAGATTCTCATTCATCAAGGCTGAAACAGTTTCTTTCCTGAATTCCTACAGCTCGTTACTAGAACCACAAAATCCAATCAAAGATTGATCCATGACCATTGAGATTACAAATTTACTCCACAGCACCAGAACTCAAGAGCTCCAATGTGCTTCGGATTGTATATATCTCAGGTTTTCTCCACCCTAATATCATTGATAGAGTCAGAATTTTTCATGCATCAAAACCCAGAAAAATTAAACCTACAATATATGTATAAATACATTTTGATGCATGTGAGTTAGCATTCAAAAGAGTACGCAACTGTCAACTGTTGATGCATGTGAGTCTTATAAATCTATCAGAACCGAGTAACAATCACTCACATGTATGTGAACATCTCTGTTAGCCCTTTACTCATTTCTATCACAATCAATTATTTTAATGTCTTCTTTAGTTACGCATTCACACGAGTCACACCAAACTGAACTCAATTTTAATCTCTCTTTTTAAGTTATTCCTATTCTTTTTCATGTTTTCTTTTTGTTTTATCCTTTGGGATTTGGACCAAAGGCCCAAAGACAAAAAAGCCATGAGAGGAGTGAGGAGATCAGATTCTCAGAAGCCCCTTTCACACATATAGGTAAACAGAACAACATTGTTTCAACAATTCAACTTCTATTTTGGGCCGTGTGTGTGCATCATTGTGAGCTTCCGACATTAACATGTACGGATAGTTAACACTCCAACAACATGGTGCATTGGTCGGTCACAATTTCGTATCGAAATCATTACAGATATGTTTCATTCTGGTATCCAACTAAATCGAAATTAAGACGAGACCTCCTTCAATCACAATGAAAACTAAGTGTCACTAAACCAATTAGTCATGTGGTGTCCAGTATATACTTGAACGGGCATTATTCGCCTCCTTACCCCGCTAAACAACCGGGTGACCCAAGCCCGTACCTTTTTGAGGTGTTTTAGATCCAACTTACTTCCTTATGATTTTGTTGACCAATACAAAATACGTAGGCAAGGAGGCAAAGAAGAAGTTGAGCAGTACACACTAACACCATACTAGCAGGTCAGAGCCACCATCCAAGTTAGTTGGCCAATTATAAATAAATAAATAAATAATTAGTCCAACAGAAAAGGTGTAAATTATACGCAACTTAAATCATTGCATTTGCAATCCATCTTTGAATTGAAAACAAAGACTTTGATTGACTTGCAATGCAAGTAACAGCACATCCACATGGAACTAACACAGAAGCAACAAAAGAAAGATAATTAAAAGTTTATTCCTGTTGATGAACATTCACATTTCTCTACATTACATGATAAAAAAAGAATTCAATTGAATTAAAACAACTGTGAGTTCTGTTAGGCTGATCTTTATTCCGGCGAACCATTTACATTTGCCGGCCTCCCTCAGACAGAGACGCCGGCAATTGAATTTACCTCTGGGGGGGGGGGGGGAGGATTTTACACAAATTTCAGGTCATTTGTACATTTATCTTCTTTCCCTGTTTCTGTCAACGTTTCCTGTTTTTTTTCTACATCATACAATTGGATACCTTTGAGCTCCATGCCAATCGGGCTCCATGCCAATCGGTCGGGTGGGTCTGTGATCTCAGAATGCCGGCAAGGCTGGGTGCTTGCCGTGTTGCTTGGCTTGGTGTTGGCACCAGTACGAATGGGCAGCCAACACTCGGTCCAAAAGCTCCTGCGGGACTGGCTCTCCCCTTCTTTGCTGAGGAGAGATTTTCGCAGTGTGGACTAAGGTTTTCCATTTATCCTGCATATAACCACCAGAGCACATCAAATAAAACATAAATCAAGTAGCTCGTGCCTTCCAGAGAAGCACTCGCGGCAATGTAAAATTACGTGATCAATCTACTAATTCGTAAATAAATAAATAAACGATTGAGTGACGTAGACAAGATAACCATACAAACCAAATTTACCTTCAAGTCCACGTAAGTTCGATGGTCTGCATTCTCAAATGCACGCAATTTAACATCGCGCCACCTGCAAATTCAGAACATTGTTAAACCACTATATATCCTTCAAAATGGAATCACACATCTCGCACTGATTCTGTTACGTGGTAAAGAATATCACACCTTCCAGTGCCAAGTTCCTCAACTGCGGTCACCAATGCTTCGACTTCTGAGACAGAGAATGGTCTCCTGGTTCGACGCTGTGCAAGCTCTGATCGCTTAGTTTTCTGGCTCACAGGAACTACGGCTAGTGGCTCCATGCTCATTTCTGGAATAGCAACTAGCGCCTGCGATTCCAGCATTGTTTTGTCGGTCAATATGTCAATATGGGACGAAACTGGTTCATGCTTAGTTTCAGCAAGACTGCCTGAATTGGTTATAGGAGGAAGGTCAGATAACACATCGGACATTGTAGAGTCCAAAACAGGTGTGCCTGGGGACCTGAAACAGCAATGCAATATTAGCTATAATGAGAACATATGTGATAAGCTCAAGTCAATAGAGCAGATCCGTAATCCAAAACTTGTCCTATCCATTGAGATTAAAGCTCAATACTTTTTCCACAGGAATCAGAAAACCACCATTATGCAGAATTAGCACACAATATTGCCTACAAAACTGTATTAATTAAGAATATATGATACTAAAACAAATAACACATACCGGAGGGAAAATTCATCCATTAATTGTCTAAACAGCCTTAAATATATTAGTATAAGAGGTTGTAGACTTAAATAAATATAGAAAGGAAAGTCATAAATCCAGCAAAAGAATACTATCTCAGCATTCATATCAACAATTGTGAAAGAAAACAAAGTCGACCCAAATGGCCAATAAAAAAAATTCCAACTTAAGACAAGGGTCTTCTCACAACACGTCAATTACCTGGTCACGAGTACAGATGTCTCGCATGATAGTGAAGGAGGGTCGCCAGAACACAAAGATGGAAGGGCTTGCATGGGACTAGGCTCCAACATAAAATCCAGAGAATCCAAACTGTCTTTGGATGAAATTCCCATCTGCATTAGAGTTCTGTAGTCATCTGTCATCTTTTTCCCTTGAACAAGTACTCCAACACTTAATCCATCCCTAAGTATGGCATTCACTGCATCCATGACTGTCCTCTGTAAAATTTCGTAACACAAATGTAAAATATTTACGCCAACAAGTGACGAATAGTCAACAACTACTTGCTAAAATAAGACCCACTACTAGCGAATAACAAGGATATTCCATGCCATTTGAGAAACATTCTTATTGTAAACAGGATGGACAATAAACTATTTCGTGTCCAGTGCACGTATGAAAACTAAAGCAGTTGAGTTAATACCTTCAATGAACCGACAGTTTCAGTTTCTGAGACCTCAATGACTAGCTCTGGCACCCTAAAGGATTTGATTTTCAATTTCACTGCACAAGAAAAGATAACGCCCCGTGATACTGGTTAAATACAATCAAATAAGAAGTGTGTTTGACACCAAATCTTCGAAACTTTAATTACCATGAGATTCCTCAGAGCGAAAAGATGCTTGATGACCAATAACTGAAGCTGATACTCCGTTTGCTGCACAGAAGAACAACTATTAAGCAAAACGAAATGACGAGCCTTAAATCCCCAGAACACATAAAGGAACAGTAACAACAAAATATCTACGTAGTTGTGCCAATGTAACATACCGGCTGGACCAGTTTTATCTCCGTTATCAGGTGAATTAGAAA